GAACCACCTAATTCCAGCAAAAAAGGACATTTTTGCCACCCTTTCATGACAGTGACAGCACTCAGCAAGTGATGGAGCAGCTGATGGAGCACTGGTAGCACATTGCAGGCAGCACATCAGGTCAGTAGAACAGATGTATCACAAATATGCTGCAGATCAAGTAAGAAAATGTTATTTGATAGATTCAAATGACACCTCTCTATTATACCCACACATCAATGCAAGAACTACGTCCTTCATTTTCCAGTGCAACCCTGAGAAACGAGGTGCAATTAAAGTCACCAGTGGAGGGGGGTGAACAGAGGCAGCTGCTGTTCTTCAGCACCCCAGCACAGCTCTGGAGAGCAGCTTTGCTTGGTTTGAGCCACGTTTCCAAGTAGTGCTGGCAGCTCAAGGTTCAAATCCTGGTGATTCATCTTTTAATCCAGGTGATTCATGCCTCCACCACAGCATCACCACATCACACACACAAAGCAGAGGAAGGGATTGGATAATGATGTTAAGCATCAGAAAAGCCTTTCTTTACCTTTATAGCCAACTTTAAACTGAGGCAACAGGGCAGAGAGAAGCCTGGCTGCTGMTGCTGCTGTTGAAGACTCCAAAGATGAGCTCACGTTTAGCTGAGGTATCCTGAGGACAAAAAGGTTCACTAGATTTTAGCAGCTGCACCAAAGATGTTTCCAAGTTACTTTCCAGAAATCAGTAGGATGTGTAATTATCACCTCACCCGACTCCACTGTGCTGAGAGGGGGCTCTTATTGACCTCAAATCACTTCACAGAACCAGAGGAGCACAATGAGGTATCCTAATACCAGCCTCAACACTCACATGGTGCACATGTTGCCTTGAAAGGCCAATTTTTAATAATGACACAGACACAGTTAAGGGGATAAAAACGGTTTTACCTCGGTATTTGGGATCCCAGGTGCACAACTTGATGGCAGAATACACCCCCGTGTACAGCATGGATATAAGTTTTATAGATTTCAGGAATTAGCATATCTGTCTAGGATTCCCCAATAAGAAACTTCACAAATGCAGCAATGTCCCTCTATTCTAATGAATTCCTCCCCTGGATGAGGTCAGAGCTCAGTTTACACAAGATGTTCCAGAGAGAAGGCTTCACTGAAGGCTGGAGCCTCGGGTTTAAGATAGCACAAGGCACACTGAGCCCTTCCTCAGGATGTTTGGTCTTTCTGCCCAGCAGAACTCCAAAACTAAGCTGGAATATCAGGCTACAGGAATTACAAGGATGTGGGCTAAGGGGTGCAGGGGAATGCATAGAGGGTACAGAAAGCGTAAAAAGGAAAAGCAAAAATCATCAGGCATCACATGAACCTCCCATGGCCTGCAGGGAAAACAAATATTATTAAGGTTAATAAACAAGGCAAATTTATTTTGTGAAATGTGGTGGCACATCTGTATTTTTAAATTTTATTTKTCCCCACAAAATACAGTCACTGGTATCTATTTTCAAAGCAATGCTGGGAAAAGGAACACCTACCAGGAATTAATAGACATGTCAGGAAAGAGGTGAGTGATGTGAGCACAGTGAGACTCCACAAGATGGTACTTCCAGGGGAAAATTGTACATTTTTCAATAAAGGCACTCTAACTCTTAAGATTAATTTTATTTAAGCATCACATTCAACAAACTGTTTGCTGGTCTGAAGTGTCACAAAGTACATGGAAAGGCATTAACAGTTAACAATGAGTTTATCACCGTGTAACTCTTGCTGGAACCCAGAACATTCTGCAAGCAGGAGCAGCCTCCTCTCTACCAAACACTTCATAATCACCAACCAGAACATCCAAGAAACTACAGCTTCCCAAAAAAACTTCTCCAGCCAGAGCTGGAAAACTTCTYCCTCTCTAGAAGCACTTCCCCAGTTCTGTTCCCTTCCCTGGACAAYCTCCAGCACCACAATGTCTCTCTTGTTGTGAGGGGCCCAAACCTGAACCCACTGTTCAAGGTGCAGCCTCCCCATAACCTTGGATGAGATCCAAGTTGTGCATCCTCACAGAGGAAAATAACCATGGACTGCTGAATGTTGTTTCTTAAATCACTTGAGTTAATAGGCAAGAAATGCATTAAGATTTTAAAAAAGGGAAAAAAGTAATGAAAAATTATAAATTCTGGAACAGACAAGTGACCTAGAAAGTTCAATTGTCCTCTGAACAGCAATTGCWTTAAGTTTGGAAGCCAAGTTTAATCATTGAGCTCAAATGGTAGATTTTCATGGTGCTTAAACTGCTAATTTCAACTCCTCTTCAAACCATGAATCTCCAGCAAGTCTTTCAGCAATAACAATAAAAGGTTTTGCATATGGATCTGAGTAGAGGGTCTGCAAAGCACCTCAGCTCATCCAGCAGCACTTTTCCATATGGTCTCGAGAAGTTTCTCTTCCCTCTAACTGAGGCAAGKGGTACCCAAATCACACTCAGCCATTCTACAAAGGCTTCCATGGCCACTTTTKCCAGGGTAAAAGCCTATTCCAGACATTTACCATCAGCAGAGGATTTGTGCAAATGGGAAAACTTTTATATCACTCTTTCCACAACATTATCCCAGCCTTTGCTGTGAGACAACTTGTGAATTCAATCTGGAAGCACAAGGGTACCTAATCCTTCCAAACATTTCAGCACGTGTGTTCTGGAGACCTCAATCAATTCTCCAACTTTAATTGTGCAGCAGGGAATATTTGTCAACAAAACCSCCAGTCTTAGTGATTCTGTGTGCCAAYAGACAGGAAAAAAAGGTMAWATGCAGSTAAGAATTACCTTAGATCCTGGCTYGTGCAGCATCATATAAAGCTTAACAATGTGTGAATAGCAAAGRGACACAGCATCACTTTCTGGCCAAGGTATTTTCAGGGATTCACAGTCCATGGAAARAGAAAATCATCCACATCTCTGTGTCTCCCAGGGGATCAACAATGCAGACAGAGCACAGGAGCTACACAAAGAATCAAATGTTCTGTCAGAATATAACAGGAATAGCATCTGTCAGCTCTGTGTATGATAAATAATGATGTCCCCAGTAATTAAACTTACCCAGGCACARATCCTAACCTACCTCGGGGAGGCAGGGACTGCCATGGAACAGGATGTCCAGTTCCCACCTATCTCAGGGTCCCTGTGTTCACAGCACATGACCAGCAACAGTTTTGTGTGGACAATGGGGACATTCCCCATCACTTGCACCTTGTCTGGCCATGRAATCCCAGAATGGTTTGGRTTGAAAGGGATYTTAAAAATCATCTCATTCCAACYCCCTGMCATGGGCTGACTCTCTACTCAATGAGTTTTATTCCCTTCCRACTTCACTGGGAGAGAAGATGCTACAGGAAATATTCCATTCCACACCAATATTCCAAACTGATCAACAAACACAGCTTCACCCTCAACTACCTCATGTTTTCTTTCTATTCTATTGACACAATGAACATTAGTGTCTCATCTCTAATGTAACTCTCTAGAGTCATAGCTCTATCATCTAACATGGTAACAGGAAATTTTGGGTGCCCTGTTCAAAGAAACCCTCTTGGGTTTGGRGCATAATCCCAATGAACCTGTCAAAACACACAGCAGAATGATCATTGTTTGCTCTTACTTTTTTTCAAAGAAAGAAGAAACATCAACAAAACCTACATTTTATGCAGCAAAATACTCACCAAGAGATTCAGCACTGCAAAGATGACATTAGGGCAGAAAAGAAAACCAGGAAAAAAAGTAACTTTACTTGATAAACAGGGACAGAGTTTGTTTTCCCCCCTTTTTTTTCAATCCAAGCTCATTACTCCAGGTTGTAACCTCTGCACTGAGCTTCACATTAGTGGCAGCCAGTCTTACAACAACCTGACACAATGACCCCACTTCTGGTCCCAGGAGAATTAGAACAGTGGGAGCACATCACCTTCATGGAACAAAATACAAGCTCTCATTCCAGTACTGGAGACCCACATCATCCCAACTTAGAGGCAACCAGATCCTGGAGAAACCTTTGCTCAGGAGGGCAGCCTGCTTTAGAATCCCAATTAACCATCCTCTGTGTGTGGGTGCTAAATGTGGGACCCCAAAATACTGCGCTTACCTAGTATTCTCTGGTCCTCAAGTTTATTTTTTTTTCTGTACAGCTGCCAGCATTAATACWAAATAAAATACAAAAATGCAAACCAAAAAATTAAATAGGCAGTACTCACTTTTCTGGGAGCTCCAATGGGGTTGGGAATTGCAACTGCTTTGATCCAGAAGAGATTTTTCTTTCCTCCCAGCCTGTGCAGCCCAGCAGGGATGTGTTCACACTAAACTGGCTCTTGCATTTCTTAGGGGAATACAGTAAAGGTGTTGGAAGATAATGAAATCAATTCTGTTTGTGCTCCCCTGTTCATCCAACCCAGCCCTCAGCCAAGGACATGACACAAACATTTTAGATGCTGATGATGAACTGTTGGATGATGATTAGTGATGTTCTTTCACAATCCTCCTAATGCTATCTTTTAAATTCATTTTTTTTTCTTGATGGCAGGAAGGATCTCCCCACAGTGTTCTGCTGCAAACAAAAGGAGACATCTACAGCAGGGCAGGAAGGTTTTGTTTGGAAGTGACCAGCTCCAAGGTGGGGAATAAAGGTGTTGGAGAAAAGCTAAGAACACTGCAGGGCTCTCAGAGACTTACCAAGACCATCCAAACACCCACCTCCCGCCAGCTAAAGCCATCATTTTGCTTCAAGGGTCTCTGTGGGCTGAGCCCCCTGCCCAGAAAACATTCCATCTCCCAAGAATACCAAACCCCCTGGTTCACCAGCCTAACTCAGCTTCCAATGAAAAGCAAGCAGAAGAGCAGCTCCCCTCCATCATTCCTTAAATCACCACAGTCCCACCCCTCAGATATTCCACCACCCAAACCATTTTGAAGCCAGCATTGCCTTAGCCTACAGCATTGTATTCAAGAGAAGCATGGGAGAGGTGTGTTAAAGCACTTTATTGGTGACCACACTCTGTACATTCAGCTTTGTACAAAACCCTCTCCATTAACACCAGAGTGAGTGACAACCACCAGGAGCTGTGAATGCTGCTTTGCCTCTCTTCTGAAGAAGCAGAAGGGAAAATAATGCTTAARAAAAAAGATTCAGATTTGCCATGCCAGTTTGACTCCACCAGCAAACCAGTCCTGCAGCCTGGGCTGCAGCTCAGAGAATTAAAAACTTGTGGCTGTCAGAGGGATGCACAGGAAAAGGCTTTGAATCCCCTGCCATGCTCTGCCTTGGGGTCCTGTCTCCCACTTCTGATGCTCCACTGTCAAGTGCTGCTGCAGTTTACCAAGACTAATTAAAAACCTCATCTCAAGAGTTCTAAACCAGCAGGGSASAGATTTCCATGCCCACCACAGCCTCATTTGTCATCTGAGCTGCTCTCTGGCAGCAAGGTGCCACTGGAACGCTTTCTCCCTCTGCGGAGGCACAAGCCACAGTCCAGCTCCACGTCGATGTCCCCGAATTTTAGCTGGCAGGACTCATTGCAGCTGCAGGAGAGAGAGTGGCACTGGTCAGGGATTTGTGGGCAGTGAGAGCCACTGGCTCACCCCCCCTGCCCGGGAAGGCTGCTCTGTGCTGGCAGGTCCCACCCTATCCAGCCTGGCCATGCTTGGATACACACAGGCACCGCACTCCTTATCCCATGGCACACACTGCTGCACCCATTTCCCACCCCACTGTTGGCTCTGGGTRTTGCTCTTGGCTACCCCACCCCATGCCCTTGGCCAGGACCCATCATACCAGCGGGACACAGCRGCGTTGGCAGCCACGATGGCGAGAGCGCCCACGTAGTGCCAGCAGAAGCACATGGTGAGGAACAAGAGATTGCTGGAGTCGCTCTGATCCCAGCCTGGTCCTCCCCAYGGAGGGGACAGCAGAAACCCAATCTGGTCACAGATGAAAAAGAAGTCAGGCTTTAGCACATTCCTCATGTTTTTCCTCTTGATTTAGCCCTGAATTGCTTCAGCTGATTGTGGACTAGAGGCACTATAACCCCCAGTAACTCCTGGGGCACTGCCCTTGGCTTTCCCAAGCACCCTGGTCCCCCAGACTGACACAAGGGTGTCAGATGGATTCTCTGCAGACAATCCTTAGGGCTTGCAGTGCAGCCCAGCATCCTGGAGAGATGTGACATCCCAAAGGTGACATTGTCAGTCTGTGCATTTCCCCCCAGACAAAAGCTGGGTGATCACATGAGAGATTACCAGATATTTCCAGTTACTTGGAACAGAGGAAGAAAATGGACCTAATAAAATTAATAGAAACTCATGATTGTGGTTTCCTTCCCTTGTGGGGTCTGCTTTCCATTTTCCATTCATTTCCAGGTCTGTCCATGCTGGTACAATACACATGCAATTCTTCACTATGGCATCTCTGGCACTGAGCCTCATTTCCTCTTATTTRCAAAGATATTTGAACAGCCTACAGTTTAACCCCAACAGATGTGCCTAAAGGGGCAGAGCAGCCCTGCTCCACTCGCCTTCCCTGGTACAAATCTCTGAGAAGTACGCTGAACACACACTGACCTGCCAAAGCCAAGAGCCCTGGAGAAGGAAGGAGCTGGTCCTGAAGGTCTCCAGGATGATGTGGTCTCGGAGGAACACCTCTAGGAGAGCACAGAGGGCTCCAGCAAAGATAGCCATGGCCAGCAGGGAGTGGAGGTGCTGGTCCAGAGCAGCATCGCTGTAGTCACGGAAACAGAGGAGCAAACCTGCCAAGATTCACCCTGTGTTAGCAAAGAACACTCTGGGATTTGTTCTCTGAAAAAATCATCTGAAAACTCAGACTGTGCTCCAAGCCTTCTGCCTTGSTGGGAAGAACCAGAGAGTCACTGGCTGCTGTCACCACCTTCTCTCTGCCAGGACCAGGCAGCCCCAGCACTGCTCTGCTCTGTCCCCAAGAAGCTGGGTACCTGTGGAGGTTCCTGTGCCCCTTGGGGATCCCTGTGCCCCAGCCAGGCCTGCAGGAGGAGCACAGGGATGGGCAMCTTGATCTCAAAAGAAGATGGGGAGCTTTGTGTCGGGGCTGTCCCTCTGCATCCAACCAAGGTGAGGGGGTGACAGCTTTGTGTAACCCTAGAGTGAGCCAGAAGAATCACAGAGCCCTCGAGCATCTCCTGTGGCACTTTGCTATGGCTGGATCCATATTTAGGGAGGGGATGATTTTGTCACACAGGCAGTGCCATTGTGCATCCACATGCCCTCCAGCTCTGTCTTTGTGGCCCCCAGACTGCCCAGGAGCTGTCACAGCCACGAGCATGGCAGCAATTCCTGATTCTGTCCCCTCCTCCCACAGCTGCAATTCACCTTCCACAAACAGAGCCAGGGACAGTGAGAGCCGGTCCAAGCCAGGGGGCAGCTTGAGTGGGGAGTGCAAGACGTCTGTGATGCCGGAGAGGAGGAAGAAGAGGTAGATGGTGGAGTAACACCAGTGGGTGAGGTCAGTCCAGCTGTGTGTCTGGGGGCTGTACAGCTGCAGGTGGGGACCGCTGGGGACAAACTGCTCCACCAGTATSCCTGGGCAAAGAGAGAAAAAGGTCACTTTTCCTTACACATGGGGAAATGCCCAGCCTGAGGGAATGTTCCTCAGCAGGGGTGAAGCTGTAGTGGTGTTTGCCCAGCAGAACYATAGCAAGGTCCTGTCCCAAGCACGTCCCCAAGCCCTCCCATGCCGGATGTTTTCCATTACAAACAACCCCAGTGTGGTRGCAGAGAGTGGCTGCTGTGCTAACAGATATTGGGGCAGACACTCATCATCATCATCTCTTACCTATTAGAGCAAAGAAAGCTTTGGTTGCCCCTTCGAAGACCTCTGCTCGCCCTCGGCCCGGCTGGCCCTCGGCGTCCCCTTTCCTCCTGAGGAACTTCAGGGGGTACCTCACCGACCACCAGAGGCCAAAGGCGAAGAAGAAAGTGCCTCGGAGGGCACTGCCCACAAAACTTGTTGGCATCGGGCTCGTTCTGTGGACCTGCRAGGAGAAACAGTGCCTGAGGACCAACCCAAAGAGTCCCCGAGGGAATTGTTGGGCTGCTCAGCATCCCCAGAGATGTACATCTCATGATGTACATCAGCTGCAAACAGRGAATACCAGAGATGGGATATCAGCACAGGGAAGCTGCCACTGTGCAAGACTGAGCATWTGTGTGTGGATATAGGGATTCATGTGGCTGCACCTAAAATCATCAGGACTTCATGCCAGACAACAATATGTTAGTACCCAAGAAAGCATAACAGCTGTTAGAAGAAGAAACACAATGAAGTTTTTACCAATCAAAAGCAACRTGACAATTATTTCCTTAGACCATATATACTTGCTCCAAACTAGGCAATTACCAGGGTGTGAATCCAGTGCTGGATTAAGAGCTCCAGCCAGTCAAGGCTTCTCTGGGTTGTGCTGGAGGAGGCGACCCAGGAACCAGTAATGTTTGGAAAAAGAGCCTCATGCATATTCCACACAACCCTCGTGTGGCACACAGGTGGTGATTTGACACAAGAGATTTCCTCCCCATAGCAAGAGCTCAAAGACTAAAGGCATAAAAAAAGCCTTGACTAAATCAGATCAATGTCATAGTGTTAACCAAGAAGGATGGAGAGGAGCAAAGGTACAGCAAATTTACATCCTGCAAAGTATTTCAGCCCATACTAAAATTCCTGAAAAATATCCCAGTGTAGCAAGCACAGAAAGCAATAAATAATGATCTGTTTATAGCACTGAGCTTTTGATTTTACCTTGGGATKGTCTTGTTCCCTCCAGAAAGACCTCTCTCTTTGCTCACTGTAAACTTCTACCACCTAAGCAGGGCTCACTTTTCTCCTCCTCATGGGCTTTCCTGTCCTTTTCTGCAGCTCGGGTGTGTGCAGAGGAAGGCATTACTCATCCCAAAGCTTCCACATCAACCTGCCCTTGCATCACAAATCACATCCTCRCTGTGTTTATAAATACCAAAGCAAATTGCAGGGGCTAGATGAACAACTCCAGCATGTTCTCCRAGTCCTCCCACACTAGAAAGTAATTAAGCACTGCAAAACAAGGGTAGGATGTGGCATGGCAAGTGCCTGAGGTGAGGGAGAGCTCTGCAAGACGTTCCAGGCAGGGTTTTGGCTCTGGAGCCAGTATGGGTCGGACTGGCTCATCTCTGTGTGGCGAACACAGGGTTGGAATTTAGAAACCATCGTCATCATTTTAATCTCTGGGACAGGCTCAAATCTGTGCTAAGGTTTCCTTTYAGGATGGAAGTTACTAAACAGCCTTTCAGGTTGAGCATTGAGAGCACTGAGAGCTGAAATCATTGAGAAATGCCACATCCAGGAGCTGGGRATCAGGGAAGGCTCTCTGCCCTATTTTGGGTGCCTACATTAGGGTGAGGTGGCTCATGCCCCAGGAGAACCCACATCTTTCCTGCTTATAGCCAGGATATATTATAGCCCTTCCTGCACAGACATCTACATCTGAAATGGCTGACAACAAACACTATTTAAGCACATTTAAGCATAGCACAACTGCATGATATATAACCAAATTTTACCATTGTCCTACTTGTGACTGAAAGTGCAACAACCTGAAGCTGCAGCGCACCCTGTTTGAGACACATGTCAGGAATGTTAATTTGACATGATTAATTGGAGGAGAGGAGAACAGAGACATCCTAGAGCCCAGAATTAACAAACAATGTGTCCCACCAGCAGCTCCAGAGGCTATTCCAAGCCATGCCAGCACACAGGATAAACCCGAGGATCTGTTACCCCACATCCACCATCCATCTCCCCCCTCACCTGAGTTACTAGCAGACCCAACATGATGTTTCAGATTCTCCCTAAAACTCCTACCCTGACCATCCCTCTTGCTAGCAGAGCAGCCTCGCTCTTCCTTGCAGTGCCAGGGACCCTTTGGCTTTGCAGCCCAATTCATCAAAGCTTTGGGGAGCTGTCACAAGACTCCTTTGCTTCCCAGCAACTGGAAACAATCCTCCAGCAGCCACCACRGATCCCAGAATGGTTTGGGCTGGAAGGGACCTTAAAGATTATCTCATTCCACCTCTCTGCCATGAGCAGAGATGTCTTCCACTGGACCRGGTTGCTCCAAGCCCTGGCTTTGAACGCTKCCAGGAATCCTGCCAAGTCCTGGGGCATCTCTCTTGTAGCACAGATGCCCCAAACCACCATCAGACAAGCAGAAGCTTGCATGTAACTCCCTCAAAAAAATTTAAAAATTCCATCTCCTGATGATGATGATTTTATGTGCAGCCACATGAATCCCTATATCCACACACATATGCTCAGTCTTGCACAGTGGCAGCTTCCCTGTGCTGATATCCC